ATTGTCCAGACCCCACTGGTCGAGAGTGAGCGATTCATTTCCTTGTTCTTTACACTCTTTACCCGGTGAGGACCTAGATGGCTTGGTCTTGATTCTGATGTCTTGAGTTTTGTGCATGGGTTGACTGTCTTGAATAAGTTGTTGAGTCAAGTCTAGGTTGGTTGATGAACAGAAGGGAGACTCCTCCTTTACTCGATTTTGCTGCACTCGAATGTCTTCTGTGGTGGTTGTCCAGGTTGCTATTGAGGTTGTTCATGTGTTGATGTTTGAAAGCCAGTATGATTCACGTGTTCTGTGCCTATATGATTTGTCCCCAATGTTGGTATGATTGAAATATGTAAGCTTACCTTGTGTCTGACTTGGTTTGCTTGGGGGCAAGCAAACGGTTAAGTGTGGGGGAGTTTGATAAACCGTTAATTGCACATGTTTTCAACCCTATTCTTGAGCCGTTTGAGATGTTGATTCTCGTGTTTTAGGCCGATTTCACGCTAGGTTGTGCTTGTTTGTGATATTTCAGGTCCTAGTACGTGAATGAAGGTTTGGGAGCGAGTTCGGGGTCGATTGGACGAAGATCGGGCGCGAGGCAAGTCGCTGAGGAAGCCACACGGGCACACACAAAACCCACACAGCCGTGCAAGTAACCAATGTGGCCGTGTGGGATTGTGCGAGCCTTAACACGGGCAGGAATAAAACCCACGCGGCCATGCAAGTAACCAATGTGGCCGTGTAAGATTATGTGAGGCTTCACACGGGCAGACTGGGTGAGCCACACGGCCGTGTGTCCCTGGCCGTGTAGGTAGCCTGAAGTGCAATTATTGGAAACGCGGCGTTTTGTGTCTCACGCGGGCAACTGGGTATGTCAAACGGTCGTGTGGCCTGCCCGTGTGATCGGGATTTTTTGGTTTTTACCCAATTTGGGCCATAAGTGAGAGAATTGAGTTTTCAGAGCAAAAACAAAGCCCTAGAGAGAGAAAGTGCGAAGAACACATCCTAGAAGCAATCTTGGAGCTGGGTTTCATCAAATCGAGTTTGGAGATCTTCATAGGAGTGGAAATCATCATCCCAGAGCATATTCTTCCCATTGTTATGAGTATGACTGCTTTGTATTCTGTTTTCCTCTCTCTCTATGGAGTAGAACCCTTCTCTCACTTGGGTATGAAGAACCCTAGTTCCATGTGTTAGGGATTGTAATGACTTGGGATGATTATACTGTTTGGTTTTAATCGAATGATGCATGTTTTATTGAATTGATTGAAGTCTGATCAGCTTTTCTTGATTTCTGCTGCAACCTGAGATAGATTGAATCTGATTAGGTTGTTAGAGCCTCATTATTCGGTAGTAGGAGATTGGCTATATGAGAGTTAGCCAGTTTACTGCTTTGTACTGGAATCCAATTCCAGTAGTGGAGTTCTGTGCTTATTGCTTCAGCTTTCTATCCCGGTGAAGACTAGTCGTCTGCCGGGTAGTTAGACTGAGAGGGCTTGGTCAGCTTAAGAGATTCCAAGCTACTGTCGGATCTTACGCAGTCTAATCAACAGTAAATCAACCCAGGGTAATTACAATTGAGACCTAACTAAGGATCTAGGGGGACTCATTCCCGAGTGACTCTTCTTTGCTTGAGAAAACCGTACCAAATCCTGCTTTCTTACTGCTTTTGTTTAAAACAACAATCACTTGACTTAGTTGGCTAGATAATAGATAATCACGGACTAAGCAGTAGATCTAGACCCCGGGTTGATAATAGAACTTGCCACTTTACTACTTTCCCGGACTGCGATTACACTTGTTCGCAGTTTAGTGTTGTGTTTTGGCGTGTCAGCCAGCCAAGCGAGACCACCATGGAACCAGCACAAGCAAGAGGGAAACGAGGGAGAAATGGGACCCGTAGACGCGAGAAGGAACCCGAGAACTCGGCGAAGTGACCGGGGCAAGAGTCGGCGTCGACTCCGACGTCAGTGGGGTGAATGACGATGTGCAGTTGATGATGACACCCCGCACCTATCCACCTAAACATCGAGGATTTTGGGCGACACGACATTAGCCTTCGATGTGTGGCCCACGCCAAGCAGTTGAAATAAATGGTGGTGGCGGACCTCCGGCGATCACGATCACTGGAGTGTTGTTGTCCGATGATAAGGAAGAGGAAGCAGCAACCATGATTGAGTCAAGAACCGAGAAGGAGGAAGAAGAAGAACTAGCGTGCCAATCCCGAAGTCTCACCTCCGTAAGTGATGGAGAAGACATATCTCTGGAGGTAAGGAGAATGCTCATCATGGCTATTAATATTCAGAATTGCCACAGAAAGAACGAATAGGAGGAGGTGATGATATGACTATTAGGACTCTGCCATGTTTAAGGGAGAGGATGGAACGATTAGTAAATTGTGTAGCTTAAGCTTACTGAATAGACACTAGGTTCCAAATGGTGCAACTTTTAATCCAACTTCCTAAACCCCTTTTTCCTTCAGCTCACACAATATGGCCACTATATATATATGTATGCCCCCTTAGCTAACGTGGATGCATGGCTAGGTAGGATTTTATGTGGGCTCATTCTTTCTTTTAATGGGAAACAACAGTAGATTTTTACCAATGGAAATGGGTTGGGTAGTCGGGGACGTTAGGATTGGAAGATTAGGGACTACAAGTGAGGTTAATTAGGTAGTGGCGGTTTGGCATGGAACTAAGAGGGACTTTTAATGGCTTGGAGTTGTTGGAGCCGAACAAAAAACTCGCCAAGAGGGAGTCGCTATTATTGACGATGGGCCGTGGACCAAACACCGATGATGTGGCGGTTAAGCCAATTTGATAAGGTATGTGGTTAAAGGGGGTTAGAGTAGTTTTCGTTACCAGTCTATGCATTTAAGTTCATGTTATGCATTTCTGTCCTTGTTTTATGTTCAATCATTCCTTAAATGCTTTCATATTATGTTAATTATTTGCGATCAATCCTTACTTTACGTATGCATAGCATAATGGTACATAAGTGAACTGTGTTATGAGTCAAGCTATTACAAGTTCAACTACAAGCTAATTAAGTGCAAGTTAACAAGTTTAGATCTTCCCATTATGTGGGATATCACCAAGCTTTTCAGGCATGCAAGCAAGGGTTAGAACTATCAAGTTAATAGTACACATATGTAAGAACACGTTTAATCCTTGTTTAGCTAGCTACGTACGCGACCACCTCTCTTCCCATTGTGAGGAAGTATTTATCAAGTTTATCAGGCTCTCTTCCCATTGTGAGGAAGTTTATATCACGATTATCAAGTTCTGGTGGTCGAACGGTTGTGTTAGTTAAGTCGAGAGTGGGATCCCATTTCAAGTTAAGTAAGAAGCAAATACTATCAGTAAGAATATGTTAATAATAGTGTAGTTCTACTATTGTACTCAATAACGTACCCAAGTCTTTGCATGTGCATAATTATGTGTTAATAGTTGATAACGAAATTAGGATTAGGTCTGACCCCATCGCCCGCATTCAGGAAATGTAGAAGCTTTAGAGTATGGCAGAAGTTCAACAGTTCGTGACAAGGATCAATGACTGTAGAGGACTCCAGTGTGAAGATTTTAATCTCGTGTACTTAGTAGGGCTTGAGACTTAATGCGATTTTATCAAGAATTATTATTGTGGAACTCTTCAGAAATTCTTATTTGTATTTAAAGTATTTATTATTAAGGATATTTATGAAGGTTTACCGTTGTATTTTCACCAGTGTAGGAAAAAGGCGGACTGGCGCTCAGAGAAGGAATGGGAAGGACGACAGGGAAAGTGGGCCAGGAAATTGGATTTTTGACTTTGGAGTTTGGTTTTGGGAAAAGGAGAGAACTATGAGGTTGTCCCGTTGGGACTGCTGCTGGGCTGATGGTTGTCTATTATGAAGGGTTAAGGGAAGTAGCAGCAAATTTCACCAGTGTAGGAAAAAGGCGGACTGGCGCGCAGAGAAGGAATGGGAAGGGCGGCAGGGAAAGTGGGCCAGGAAATTAGATTTATGACTTTGGAGTTTGGTTTTGGGAAATAGAGAGAACTATGCCCAAAGTGGTGAGAGGGCTAAAATAGAGATAAACAAGCTCTCTATCAGGAGGAGGGCCCGAGCCCAGTATGACACTCTTCTGGATCCGCCGATGAGTACCACAAGGAGATCTTGGTGGCGGAGAGGAGAGAGATTACCCGTGTGTTCTTAATTTTAATAGTTTATATTTTTATTTTTAAAGTTAGAAATGAGATGGAATATTAAAAAATAATTTTTTTTAAATTGTCACATCACACATTTAACGGGCAACTTTTAGAGTTAACCGCCTCGTAAGTAAAAGTTAACAAAGTTGGACGGAGAGTGACCAAACGTGAACGATTTCAGTAAACTGAAGTATCACCAGTGGATTTAAATATTTCGAGTGACCAAACTTGAATATTTTTTGTAATATCAGTGACCAACCATGCAATTAACCCTTTTATTATATGTACTTCCAATTGACATCTCACTGAACACATGAGAGAAGAACAAGCATTGTCTCAGCCTATGTTTGGTTTTGAGGCTAAATGGATGGCTGCAAAATGCAATTTTCAAGGTATTTGCACCTTTTTTCTTTACATTAGCCATTAACCTTTCAAGTATAAGCTGAATTTGTATCATAACTTTGAGGGTGAAAAAATTATATAATAAAGAGAATTTGGAGGAAAAAATACATATACAAATTGAATCTTTAAAATTAAGCTAAGGTACGTATTCAATTTCTATCATAATTTTTTTTTATAAAAAACGTTAAGTAAAATTAAAAAAACAATTTAGCTTGTAATATAAGGTTACAGGCATAGGCGGAGGGAAACTTCTGAAGTTTAAAAAAATACCACAACATGTGTCGTCTACACCACGTTTAGAACTAATGATCTTAGCATCATAATGAATTGTTCTACCGCTACACCATAAGCAATTCTTTATGGATAGTTCAACATAAATGCTATTTAATCCAGAACAAAAATAAAATCCCTAATTAAAATCCCTAATCAATTTGATACATCCCTCGGTTGGGCATATCAATTTTCTCAGCCAACAAACGCGACTGAAGTAGCGAACGACACAACGCGACTCGACTTCCGTCCTCGATCCTCCTGCCCGGTGACCTGCGTCGTTGCTCTCGTCGACGGGTGGCGACCGCCGGCCTGGCCTCCTCAGCTCCTCGCTCAGTTCCTCGCCTCCTCCTTCCATCCTCTAGCCAGCGGCGACCAGCAAGTTCGTCGTCTCCTCCTTCCATCTTCTAGCCAGCGCAGAGGCCTGGCCTCCTTAGCTCCTACTTCCGTCCTCCATTAGCGGCGAGCCGGCGACCATGACCAGCAAACTCCAGCTCTAGGCGGTGGCAACAGCTTCTCGGCGGCAACAACTTCTGTTTTAGGTTAGGACCAATAATCTTTTCAATTTGGGAGTTCTTCATTAGCATATTAGGAGTTTTCGATTTGGTCTTTTTCAATTTGGAGTTAGAACCAATTTGGTGACCAGTTTGCTAATGACTAATTAGTTGGATACATTGAAAAAGACTTGCTTAAAAGTGTAGACAACGAATGTATTTTGCGTTACTTTCAGAATATGAAAACACGTTGTGGTTGTTTATGAGAACAATGATTGTATTAGTCGACTATTTCTTTATTATCTACAAATGAACTATTTGGATATTATAATTTTAATTATAATTATTAAATAATTAATTTATTATTTATATATATTTATATTTTTAGAAGAGGACACAGGCACTTTTGAATCCTGCCTTCGCCACTTTTGGTTACAGGAGATTCACTAGAAGGCAACTTACAGGAGGTCAAACTTTACCCTCTCACATTCAACTTACTGGACAACCCCAAATTTACTCGTTGAATGTCACCTGACTTGCTGGCCACTGAACTACCTCACTTCAGCCCATCACCCAATCTGGTGAGCCTGGCCGACTTCATTTTTTGAGAAAAGATAGGGTATTATTAAGAAGTGCAATTTTATTTGAGTGAAAAATGACAGACATATGAAAGTTGGACACGCTAGCGCAGTGACAGCAACGCACCCAGCTTGTTTTTTTTTTTCGTTAGATATTTGATTGGCAACGTGCAGCAGACAGACAGCCAGTAGTTGGCAAACTCACGACGGCTACGTGGTTTTCGCCGGTGGGGCCTTCCTTTCCAATTCCAATGCCTGGCAGCGGTGCCGACTGTCGACTGACTGACTAAGCTCCAAAAGTTGGGGGGACTTATCTCTATTTAATTAAACTCTAAAGTGCTATAAAACAAATTTGGATTAATTGAAGTTGTTCATTCCGGGTTTATTACAATTAGTCACTCGAAATATTTAATTTTAATATTGGTCATTCAAATTAGTAAAACGATTCATGTTTGGTCACTCTTCGTTAGTCTCCGTCCAACTCTATTAATGAAATCCGTTATGTATTGATGTGGCAAACGAAGTCGCCTAATCAACCTTGTTTAACCCGAAAAATAGTAAACCCAACCCGCCACATCATCACAACCCGCCATGTCAACCTGCCCAACCCAACCAGACCCAGCTCTCCATCTTCTTCCCTCAACCCTTCTCTGGTAGCTTGATTCCCTTAACTCCGTCATTTATTATTTCCCTATTGGTTGTTTTATTGCTCTCACAAGTAACCTCCCTCTTCTTATGGAACTCTACCTTGTAATCCTCTACCTCCTCTATTGTTTTGTTAAGCAACTTCCTTCCTTTCTTCTCCTTCTCCTCCAATCGCAAGGCATTCTCCCTCTGCACCCAAACAACGGAACGAAAAGGCTCAACTAGGTGATTTTATGGGGTTAGAGTTTAGATTTTAGTCCACTCGAGCCCAGTTGTTCTGTTCCCGGAGGCACCAAAAGAGGATCTTAGTGGAGGGCTCAAAATGTTCAAGCAGGTGAACTTTCAGGTTTGATCTCTTTCAGTCATCGCTCAATTGATGTGTGCGTGAAGATTTTCATGGGTTATAAAAAAAAAAAAAAAAAAAAAAGAGGGAGAGTTTAGATCAGTTATTTGTGTAAGAGGAATTAGTAGGTAATGTTTGAGTTAAGCCCAGTTGCCACAGGAAAATAGTGCGTAGCGGTAGAAGATAACTAACCTATCTCATTTCTCTTCTTTCTTCCTGCAAATACTACTGTGACAGCAGCAATGGTTAGTGCTATGCTATCGGATGTAGATTCAACCGAATGGGAATATTCCATTGAGATTGGATTTATTATCCTTCAATTTAGTGGTCCCAAAGTAATATTGCGACTGATTTCTCCTCCACCAAGTACAACACCCATTTCACATCTATAGCTATGGTCAAGAATCAAGATTTGATTATTTTATGATATTTCGAGAATTGACAGTATGTTGATATTTTAAGTGTAGTCCTGTAGTGTCAAAAAAATATCCAATTTTGATTATATTGTCCAAGCTCAATTTGATTATAGATCAAATTAAATTGGGATAATATCATTTTTGAAGTAGTCTTATACATTAATATATATAAAGCCAAAGTCAGATTACTATTGCCTAACACATTTATATTTTATACCCCAAATTTAATTAAATCACAACTAAGTCATTATAATGTACATTTTATATTTTGATACCTCAAATATAATAGTAATGTAAAATCATTGAACAATTATGTTTTGGCATCTAAATTTTATGAGATTTTCGTACCTATAATTTTTTAAATTGACATATTGGTCCAATGTTTAGATTTCACTTGAATCTATGAATCCAATCCACCAATCCTTTTGAACCAATCCATGAATTCAATCCACCATAACGCAAAAGTATAAATTTAGTTTGTACCATACAAGATGTTGTATCACTCAATTCTGGGAGAAGATTCGGCCATTTTATATTTGCTCATTACGTGAAACATTAAATAAATGATAAAATAGATACGACTTTAAAATATTACAAGAGTGAATTTATAAACTCATTTAGTACATTTACGGGATACTAAACAAACTCATACTAACTACATGTAACAAAATATGTGACATCTACATAAGCAAGTGTCAATAAATTGCTACGGTAAAAGGGTTGACTGTTGTATTGACGACCAACTAAAAGAATTGGTCAAAACCTTTCCATCATCTACTTCCTCTTCTTTCATTTTTTACTCGCCTTCCATAACCCTTTCTTTCTTTCTTTCTTTACATTCTTCGTCTAACCCTAATTAATATACTATTTTTATGTATTTTAATCACAAGTATGAACGAGTCCATACACGACTCACCAATAGTCTAGAGAATTAATAATTGAACTATGAATCACTAACTTTTCAGCTCAATGTCGAGTCCAATAAAAAATAAATATATATGGTTATTACTTATTAGAAATTCGTCATTTTCCGCTATGGGATTTGAAGGCGTGTAATTTTAAGCAAGTTCCTGTTTGTATTCATTTAGCTTCTCTCTATAGTTTTGCCTTTTCACCACGGCTAGAATTTTCAACAATTATACATGGAATGTTTGGATAGGTATCTACACATATTAAATAAATAGTTTCCATTGTTCAATAAAAAAGTAAATAATTATCAGTTTAAATACATCACCATAAAAGGAATTAAGCCTCAACTACGCAAATTATAGTTTTGTACCTAAACTTAACAGATCTTTACATTTATAACCTAAATTTATTTTTTGGCATATAAGTCCTCAAAATATTTATTGAACATTACATTTTATTACTTAAAACTTTTGTGTATTACATTTTGGTACCTAAACTTATGAAGTTCTACAAATAGGTCTAATTTTTGTATGTGTAATTAAAACACCGTTGAATAAATGGGTATCCATACCCAACTCATACACATTTAGATTATGGAACTAAATATCCATACCCTGCCGAAACCCATTTACAAACTTTCAAACCCATATATACGTCGGTCGTACCCTACCCATAATCAATGGGTCTACTTGGGTTTAGGTAAATATCATTTACTAGCAAAAAATTTCAAAATTTTTTAAATCGGAGTTGACCGCCATATATCTCTTCTTAGTCAATATTACTAACAAAACTGCTAACAAAAACTAATTTTAGGCTAATAATACTAACAAAACACCATTACGGGCCACATAATACATGCCCATACGCCATCTCCGCCCCACGACAAGACGCGGCATCGCCACCTAGTAATATGATAGTTTGCGATCCATGATATTGGGTACCTAATAGAACATGAATCCTCCATAGTGCGGTTTTGTCTTTCTTTCTTCTGATACAAACTAAAATGTAGAAACACTGAAGGTGCATTGGGTTAATAACAATTAGTAAGATGGTTCATATTGTATTTTTTGTGTACAATCATTTAGATCCAAATAAACTTATTCGTATTCAAATGAGTTGATATCCAACCCAAGATTATTAAGAATGCATAAGAATCGGTCCTATATTAACGAATCATGATAATTGTGTTTAATTATCCAATGATGTACACTCACTACCATCTAAAAGAAAAGGTTGAGGAGCGATGAAAATGGTATTCTATCTTACCAAGGGGAAAAGAGTGGGTAGTGTTGAGGCATGTCCTATCATAGATTGAATTGTATTGAATGAAACAGGATGGGTTGCGTTGCTAACCTTGTATATAGTTAGTATCATTCTAACTTCTAAACCTACCATTAGATTGGAATAACAATCCTACGATCATAATTAGTTGAAGGATAATATAGTAATATTGTTACACCCCAATCTTGTCAAAAGTCAAAATGACTATTATACCATTGGGAATATTCGTCAAATTCCATCGTAATATCGATAACGACTAAAAATGTGAACTCTCGGTTCAAACGGTGTCGAGTTTCGATATAAATTGAATAAGTTACGAACGTTAGTTGAGTTGCGGATTAAACTCACCCGTAATTTATGAAATGTCCAAAATACCCCTCGAGTTACTTAAAACCAATGTTGTCAGAACCGAACCGGAGCATGACCCGGTAATGCGAACGGCTCGCATTTTAGTGGTCCAACCGGCATTAGACAGTTTAAAAACCGTTAGAGAACCGATACCTAATAAACGTTATTAGTATAAATAGTGGACATTTCTTAATCAAAACTCATCTCTTTCCTTCCGAATTGTGAAATGGAAAAAGGGATTCAATTTGAGAGCCCGACTTTTTTGGTTTATTTCAATTTTCAATTTTCTACAATTTTTTAAATTAAATTTAGTGGCTGAATGGCAAAAACCGGACGAGCGGCTCGATCGGTTCGAACGGCTAACCACCTCGGCCGCTCGCCAACCGCTAC